AGTATATATGAATCTATATGCATATATATCTATACACACACTAATAGCTAACATCTATCAAGTGCTCCCTCTGCTTGTCAAACATGGTTCCCAGCACTTCACATGCATTATTCCTTATCATCCTCACTACAACCCAGTGATGTAGGCACTGTTATTATTTCCATTTTAAAGATCAGGAAACTGAGGGGTTAGAAGGATACGTAACATGCCCAAGGCCTTAGAAGGAGTACATGTAGAGCTGGATTCCTGACTCTGCTCTCTTAATAACCACACTCACATCTCAAAAAGCATCTAGAAGATATGTACCAACTTGTTAAATAATTACCTAATGAGGTTGGGGTTGTAGGGAAACCTGTACTTCCTATTTTTCTCTGTTTTGTTTAGATTTCTAGCAATATCAATATTACATCTTAACTGGAAAAAATGTTTTCAAATTACCATCAATTATGTCATTTTCTTAACTTTACTGCATGTTGTGGTGTACTACTATATTGCCATATGCTAGACTTTGTATTGGATGCAAGAATAAAAATGACGAGGTTCCTGTCCTCAAGGTGCTCACTGTCCAAACTGTTACATTATCTAGAGGACTTTTTTTAGTAACCCCAGCCCTCCTTTCATTCTTACCCTCTGCTTTGTCCTACCCATATGCCTAATGCTCTTGATATGATGGAGAGCTTGACATTCCCAAAGCGTATGATTCACTTTTAGGCCCCTGAGCCTTTGCTCATGAAGTTCCATATTCTGTAGAATGAGTAGGAATTCATCTGGAAGAACTACTCAAGCTTGAAAGCTACTGCCATGGTGAAGTCTTTTCACAAATTTCTAATCTTAAAAAGTTTTAAATATGTATTCAGTGCAATCATGAGCATAGTTCAAATAAGTAGTGCTGAAGTACTAAAAAAGAAAAGCAAGTCTTCCACCTCAGCCCACCCAATCCCAATGTCAACCTCAACCTCAAGCTCATCGCCATTCTCCGAACTCTGAATGGTTTCTGTTTTTAGATTTCTGGTAGTGATTTCCATGTTTCCAAAATAACATGCTATCTTATTATTTCTTGGTATATCATCTTAGGCCCTATCTTTCTAATTTTTCCTAAGAGAAATGAAGATTTAACTCATATACACACTGGTCTTATCTCCTCCCTAACCTCATAATAGAGATACATCTGTATGCTCAGCCCTACACTGCTCTCTCCTCTGTACATTCAGACCTTTTTATCCTCTTCTGTCAACCAGACAGTATCTTTTGACTGTCACTTTCTAAAATGGGAACCTTAGTACCCCACCCTTCTCTCCACCCTGCTCCTGCTCCTACCCCTTTCTACCTATTGACGTTTACACTGTGCATTAAAAAAGTTAATTATATTTACATTTTCTTTTATAGTCATAGTTCTTCTTTGACTTGTTTATGAGGTGAATCTAAAAACAAAAAAACAATAGGCAGTGTTTCTGCTATTAGACTATGTGACTATTGCTCCCTATAATCTAGGGGAGGGCTTGATTATGCTTTCTGCTCTGGGTCATTTGGAGAACATTCAGATTTCAGATTTAAATGGGATCTCGTGTTTGAGACACCACTAGTAGCTCAAAATCAATTCATTTTAGGTACATCACACTTGCATCAGGCCTTTCCTGGACACTTTCTCTCTTGAAGATCCTAGTTTTAATTTTAACTTTATATTTTAGATGGAAATAATTTAACCATAAATTTTTTTTTCTTTGCATTCTGTTACCTTCTAACAACCTCAAGGGTTTCCAAGTTCCTAGTCATGCTTTTGATTTTATTGAACTCTATTTCTCCCTCCAGTCTTCCTACTGCAATCAGGATGAGTTGCTTCCTAGCCTCGACACTCCTACCATTCTGGGACCTCTCCTGCTTATCCGAGTTGGAGCCACTTTTCTTTGGGTCCCACACAGTGAGGTGTCCTTGACTCCCACATCTTTCTCAGGATAATTAGTAACTCACCTTGCTGAACTCCCACAGTACTCTGTATTTGCCTAATAGGGTAGCACTTTACGTTGTTTTTCCCTTATCTTCCAGGGATGGACTGTGTTTTATTCATCCTTGAAATGGTACCTGACATACAGCTGGTCCTCACCTCAATTAACACTATTCTAATTTAAAGAAACATCGAGCACGTGGCAAGGCACAGTGGCTCACACCTGTAATCCCAGCACTGATGCAGGAAGATCACTTGAGCCTAGGAGTTCAGGACCAACCTGGGCAACACAGTGAGACACCGTCTCTACAAAAAATACAAATAAAAATTTAGCTTGGTGTGGTGGTATGTGTCTGTGATCCCAGCTACTTGGGAAGGTAAGGTAGGAGGATTTCTTAAGCCTGGGAGGTCAAGGCTGCAGTAAGCTGTGATCACGCCACTGCACTCCAGGCTGGGTGACGGATTGAAACCACGTCTTTAAACAAATAAACAACAACACCAGAAAAGAAAAAGAAATTGAGCACATTATTACGATTTACTGTAACATCTTGATTGAAGGGAAGAGCTGAGCCATCAGTTTCACTCATATTAAACAGGAAATAAGTACTGCTATTTCGATGGGAAATGAGAGGAGGAATTAAGTAAGAAATAGAATAACAAAGAACCAACTTATGAAAACTAAAACATAACCCATATCAGTCTCACCTTATAATCTGTACGTCTGTGTTGACTTATCCACTTGGAATGTGAGAAATATTCTTTATTAATTCCACTTACTGGGTTGCCAGATATAACACAGGAAGCCCAGTTAAATCTGAATTTCAGATAAACAATAAATGACTTTTTAGTATATGTCCCCAATATTGCACGAGACGTATTTATACTAAAACACTATTTGTTGTTTATCTGAAATTCAAATTTCACTGAGTGTTCTGCATTTTTATTTGCTAAATCTGGGCACTCTTCACTGGGCACCTTCTCAGAGCACTAACCAGTCAAATGCCAACTGCTGTGGGACTGCTTCGAGAATATGGCCTAATGACAATGGAAGATGACATGTTGCTGGCAATGAGAGAAGTCAACATAATGTGTATACTTGTTTTTAGGAGTTGTTCTCAAAGCTTACCACGTTTTTAGTGTGGTGTTAGGTCTTCAACTTCAACTTCATCTTTGCCGTAAAGTCAAAGGAAGACATGAGAGATCTCTTTGGTAGGGCATAATATAGCCTTTTAAATTGATATTTGTCGGCCATTTGTTTTACAGGGAATTAGTCCAGGAAGTACAAGACAATGCCACTGGACAGATAATTTCATTTAAAAAAATTTTTAAAAACTATTGTTAGTTTAAATGAGTCACTGCTTCATTAAGCTGTTAATATTAGATAACACACATTGAATGGATGTTTCCCATAGGCCAAGCTCTGTCCTAAGCATTTCACATGTATTCACTTTCATGCCCACAAGCTGCCTCTGACCGACTGATTTTGATTTTCTTGATTTTATGGATGAGGAAACGGAGAAGGAGAGATGATGAACTTTCCCAAGGTCACACCACTCATAAGTGGGGGAAACAAGCTAAAACTCAGGCCGTGTTACTGCAGAGTACTCAAAATCAAAATAAACAAAATTTCATCTCCAGTTCTGGCACCTCACCAAAAAACAAACCACGATTTAAAAATATAAAATTTTAATAACACCACACATAAATTTCAAACTACTTTTCCCGAATTTGTAACTGAAGTTTTAAGCAAGTGTGTTTTTAATTTATTAGAAAGTGGATTGAAGAGAAAGCATTGGAAAATGAAGGAAGGAGTTTCAGCTAAACCCCGAATAAAACTGTGTTCAACTGAGCTATAGAACGGCTCCTTCTAGCTCCATTTCTCCTCAGACCATGAGTGCTACTCCTGATTGCCCTGCACTGTCATTTCCAGGGAGAAATGACACCGACACAGTGCCAGGCCTTCCAATCTGAAGCGCGGCCCACACCACTGCGGAATTGGTGCTCGGTGTACAACGTGCCGGAGTGCGGAAAATGCGCAGCGCACTGCGGATTATAGAAGGTCGGAGGAATTCAGTGTATTCAGAGAGCGTGATGAAACAAGCAAAACCGGCCTGATGTGGGGCGAATTCGGCCGGGAACAAATCTGATCGTATCAGGTCTGCGGACCGGAGCTGGCAAGCGAGGCACCACCCGGGCACTACCTGGCTTCGTCCCGGCTGGCTAAGTTAATTGCGGGTCCAGGTGGGTGAGGAGGGTGCCGGGTGCGCCCGAGCGCCTTCGCGTCGGAAGCCGCCGCAGCTAGTGGGAGGCCGAGGCTCCTCCCCGCTCCCTCCTCCGGCAGCGGCCGGGAAGGAGAGGGTCCGGGCCACAAAGCCGCGCGGGGCGGTCCCAAGACACAGTCGGCGTGCAGCCCACCTGCCCGACGGAGCTGCTCTGCCGGCAACCACGGGGACAGCAGCTGGCCGGAGACTTGCAGTGCTGGCGGCAAGAGGCGGTCGGGTTTGGGGCGCTCGGGTCGCTTTGGTGCGCGGTGGAACGCGACCACAGACCCGGGTTCCCGCGAGCAGTGCCGCGCCGCACCGCGCCGCGCTTGGGTGAGGAGGTGCCCCGGGGCCCAGGTGGGAGCGGGAGCGGGAGCAAGGGAGCGGGAGCAAGGGAGCGGGAGCAAGGGAGCGGGAGCGGGAGCAAGGGGGCGGGAGCGGGAGCGGGAGCGGGAGCAAGGGGGCGGGGCGCGCCGGGCGCGGGAGGCACTGTCGGCTCGGTGGAGGCCGGGACCTCGGGCCGGGGTGGACTTAGCTGAGCCGCACCCGCCCTGCAGGCCATTCCTGGACTCGCCGACCCTGCTGCCCTAGGAAACAGCGCTAGGATCCTCGTGCGGAGACCCGGGGAGGGTGACGAGATTCGACATCAGTTCTCCCAAACCTCTTCCCGAAGGGAAGGAGGCAACTCCAAGAACTCGGAGCTAGGGGCAGAGTCAGGCCCTCTCTCCCTCCCTCCCTCTCTCTCTCTCTCCTCTCTCTGTTCAGAGAATTGGAAACTCTTAACCAAGAGTTACCAATAAAACAAGTCATCACAGAATGCAGGGAAATTACTTCTAAACTAATAGCTGGTTTAATTTCTAAAGTTGAATATGCTCAGATAAAAATTCCAAAAATAAAATAATTAAAGCTGGGAATGAGAAAAAAATAAATATTTTGGACAGATTTGCCTTTGTCCTGGCTGTGGCCATGCAGATGTCTGTGACTGCAAAGATTTATAGATAATTGAAAATATCTCTATGGCAGCAACATTTCTGGAGAAGGCTGTGGACCAGAGTTGAATAGGGTTGTTTCCCTTAGTGAAGCATTCTCTCTCAGAGGAAGGTCTTGCATGTTCCCTCATTGATCACTAAGTTCTAGAGAGTCAGGAAGCTTTAAAGTTGTTTACCAACTAGGGTGGCGATGTTCTTCACAGAGCTAGGACAACTAACGCAGTGAGACAACTCTATTTCTCTTTCTTGTCTGGTTTTGATGTGCAACTTACTAAAAGGAGATACGCCTGCTTAGAGGAAAACAAGCCCTTCCTCATTTATGTTGTGTGCAGTGGAAATGTCAGCTCGTGACTTAATAGTCTCTATTACATGTTAACTTGCCAGATCCCCTGAATTATTTACTGGTCAGTGTGTCTGAATTTCAGCTTGAAGTGGCCAGTCTGGTGATTCAAATTGCAGACAAAATGTGATAGTAATTCTGGGAGCTGTATGATTTATCTCTTACCATATCTACCACCATATTTCCCTTAGGGTTGGGGAGTGGGGTGGTTGGGTCATTAAGGGAGAGGTTACATGTCTCCTTGAAGCCAGAAATCATTTGTTTGACTCATGTTTTGAAATGTTGAATCGGTTGCTCCGTTAAAAGTCAGTGGATATTACATCCAAATGTAATTTTCCAGCTTTTCTTAGAAACAACCGGTTGATCTAGTGACACGGAGCTGCCATTCCTACATGGAAGCCATTAACTGGAATAGAGTGCTAGTCGCCTCCTTTGGATGATCCAGTCTGCTGCAATCCACACCAATCTTTATTCTATTGCATGGACCTGTTTGATTGATTTAAATTACCTGACTGGCCCTTGTAGACTTTTGATTTTTAACTTCAGGTTTAGGGCAATCAAGTGCAGCTTGTCTGTTAACACTTTCACCCTCATCTAATGCAAAAATCTCTATTCCAGGAATCTCTACCCCTGCTAGTAGTCCCCAGACCTGTACTTTCACTGCTCCTCCGATAAACAGGATATTGCTAATTGTTGAAAAGCTCCTGTTGATGGAGCTGTGCAATCTGGGCCCACATAGAACATGTTTAGGACCTTTTTGCACAGAACTATGGCTGTCACATGCTGTCTGAGTTTTCCGCATAGTAAACATTCCTCATTTGTTCAGCAGCTCCTCCTGTGACTTGCTGCCTTGTTCCCTCATCATTCTGGTTATTTTGGGGTTGTTGTCTCTTGGCATGAACCTTTACTTGTTAAAAGACTTAAAGCCCCACCAATTCAACAAGATGTGGTCTAACTGGTGCAGAATGCAGTGGGAGGCTGACCTCCTATTCTCTAAGATGTTATACTTTTTTCTTATAACTGAAGATGTCTTTAGATTTTTCTTGGCCAATCCATTGTGTTTTTAAATTTACTTTCAGGGCTTATTTTCCAGTTAGATTCTTCCTGTTCATTTACAGGAGAACTGTTCAATATACAGCTTGAGAGCAGTGGTTTTCAGCTGAAGATGATTTTTGCCCCTACTCCAGGGGACATTTGGCAATGTCTGGAGACATACTATTTAGTTGCCACAACTGGGGTGTGCCAATGGCATCTAGTGGATAGAGGCCAGGGATGCTGCTAAACACCCTGCAATGCATAGGACAGCTCCCACAACCAAGACTTATCAGCCCCAAGTGTCAGTAGGGCCGAGCTTAAGACTTCCTACTTTAGAGTCAGGGTGTAGGTTCAGATCCTGATTTAGCTACTTCCTGTCTCTGTGACCTTGGGCATGTTATTTAACCTCTTTGTCTTCATTTTCTCAGCTGTATATTGAAGAACTCTGAGGACTAAATGAGTTCATTTATATTTTTAGAAGGGTACCTACCACAGAGTAAGTTATCATGATTGCTAACTGTCGTACAAACACTATCTTATTTTTCTTCCTTATTTTATTCATTTTAGTTTGTACATATGAAATCAGATAAGTGGGTGGGTAAAGTTTGAGGGATAGCACTTCATTTCTAATCTTGCCTGTGGAATGGGCACTGGTGCATTTGGATGTTTTAGGGAGCTAACAGCTCTTCTCAGAACTGCATTCCTTCCATGGCCTCCATTATCATTTTTCCTGCTTCTTTCAGTATTTTCTGCTGTATTGGGGCATGTATGTCAGTTTAATACTGCAGCCTCCTGGAGAACATGGACACTGAGTTTGTTAGCGGGAGAGAATTTGTGCCTGTTGCTTGTACACTCTGTGTCCGGTGCCCCCCAGGTTCCTCCACACCCCAGTCACTGTGGCTTGCACCTGCACAACAGATTCCTGGGCTGAGCAGCAATTGGTAGACTTTGGGTAATAGTAATAGCATTCCTCCAAGGGCTCATATCCCCATAACTACCCCATTATCGGGGTTCCCCTTTCACAGATGAGGAGAGAAAAGCAGAAATTAGGCAAGAACTTAACTGCAGTCACCAAACTAGTAAGCAGCAGATTCAAGATTCAAACCTTGGCAGCCAGAAACTGGAGCTGGATTTCTAAACCACTTTATTATTCTAACACAAGGTAAGTTTTCTCAAGAAATATACCCATGACCTTAACCTAACCACCATGTAGCTATTTATGCATACAACAGTCAACAGATCCACTTACTTTTACTATTGTGAGTAATTTGCATACATGGGGTGTGTGTATTTGTGTGTATGTGTGTTTCTTTTTCTTCCACTGTGTTTCATCTGTTAAGGGCAGGGGTCGATTGTGACTTTCATTTTTCATAATGCAGGGATCTCTAATCCTTTAAGGAGAAGCCACAGTTACTCTAGAAAAATCATTCTTCTGAAGCTTTAAACTCATTGTAAGGCTGTAGAGAAGACAGTAGCTGAGGTCACAGTGCCAGGTTGGCCTATCTAGGCAGGCAGATTGGAGGATTGAATCTTAAGAGTAAGATCAAGAACTTTCAGTATAGCAGCAAGCTGTCCAGTGATCTTAGACAATTTTTACCTTTTATGACTTTTAAGCCATATAGAACACCAAACATCTGGACATTTGCACATTAGATGCAGATTAGTTCCAATTTCCAAAATCGTGAGTAGAATCAATTAATTATTTGTTACTTGCAGGTTTTCAGTACACTACTTGTACTTATAAATGACTGTGTTATTAAACTACTTCCAAAATAGGGAACTGTTTCTTATTTTGCTCTTTTGACCGTACTTCTTTTCTTAGGTTGTGAAATGATTATGCAAGAGTTGTGGCTACTGTCCCCCATATAAGAGGCTTTGGACACTTCTGCAGAAGTCACTTGAGTGCTATACATTTGAGATAATGTCCAAGTAGCTAATATGGTAGAGAGAAAATAATAAGAGTAGATATTATCTTTTCTCTTTCTTGGTTTCAAATTAGCAAGTATTGAGCAGGAAAGTTTTTGCAGATACTTTTAATGAGAATCATATATCTTACATAAAGATGGGACCTGAGAGTTCAACCACACTCATCCCTTTTTCAGCATCCCTGGCGGGGAGTTATTTAGCAGTGTTTGAGTTTTCATGTTAGAGAAAGCTACACTGTGAGGTAGACATCACAACTGAGTTAATTATCAAAATGTTCTTCCTTTTATTTCTCATGCGTCTACCTCCCTAGAATGTTTAATAAGGAATACCTTCCTTATTAAACAAGGATAGAGTTGCCCAGCATTTTCTTAGACCAGGGTTTCTCAACCTCAGCATTTTTGACATTTCGAGATTCCTCTATGATGTAGGGCTGTCCTGTGTACTACAGAATGCTTAACAGCATCCCTAACTGCTACTCACTAGATGCCAGTAGCAGCCCCCTCCTGGTTGTGGCAATGAAAAATATCTCCAGACATTACTAAGTGTTTTCTGGGGGACAAAATTGCCTTAGTTGAGACACTGTTGTAGAGTGATGTTCTAGCTGCATTCTCCAGCCTTCATCCTATTGTAAAATATCCAAAGAAGATTTTATCTTCTTCAGCAATCATTTGGTCTGGCAGTGGGCCAATTTTGAGGTACTTCAGCCACTTTCTTTGACTTTAGTGGAAACTGAATTGGCCTATTATTTGCCCTGTGTCTCATTCGGTTACTTTATAAGTTCCATATTAGTTTTCTATTGCTGCTCTAAAAATTTACTACAAATTTAGTCGCTTAAAGCAACACAATTTATTATCTCATGGTTCTGAAAGTCAGAAGTCTGACACAGCTTTACTAGGCTAAAATAGAAGGTTCAGTGAAACTTCAGGAGTCAGCAAGGCTGTGTTGCTTTCTTAAGGCTCTAGAGATAATCTGTCGTCTTACCTTTCCAAGATCCTAGAGGCCACCGCATATCATAGCTTATGCCCACTTCCTTCATTTTCAAAGTCAGTCATGGTGGGTTGAGTTCTCACATCATTTGGACCTCTTATTCTGCCATCCTCTTATACTTTTAAGACTCTTGTGATTACATTAGGCCAGATAATACATAATAATCTCCCTATTTCTAAGGTTAACTGGTTAGCAACATTAATTCCATCTGCATCTTAATTCTTTTTGCCTGGAACATAACATATTAGCATGTTCTGAGGTTTAGAATATGGATATTTAGGTGGAGTGCATTATTCAGCCTGTCACATGCTCCCATTCCAAAGGTCAGTCAAGAAGAATTTGGAAAGAGAGTACTGATACTTAACAAATGAGCATTTTCTTTTCTGACTCTTTACCAATAACACAAGAGTTAAGGCCTGTCTGTCCTAATCTCTTGCCAGGACTATGTTTTACTTGGATGGTTTGTCAGGTCTTCAGAGAAATTCCAGACTTGAGATTGGACATTTTACCTATTGTTTTGGTTTGTCTTTTGTTTCGAAAAGGGAAATGATGCCTGATGAGAATTTAACAGTGACAAATAGGGGAAATCAGGATTTGTGGCAGTCTTGGTTGTATATGGAGATCGCAACTGAGATCTGAAGAACAGGTAGAAAACTGTGGTTTCAGTGGGGACAATGAAGTGTACAGGAGAGACGCAGAAAGGTGAAGTCCATTTAAATGGAATGCATTATCTGAGTGCTCATTGAAAGTCTTCTTGTCAGGATGATATTTTATCTAGTGGTCAAGGGGCAAAATTAAAGATAGTTATTTTCAGGCCTTGCTATTTGAAGAAAATTATTGATTTTTAAGTGAACATTCCCATTGATTTAGAATATTGGACAAGAGAAAAGTAGGAAAAGTATTTAAAAATTACCTTAATTTCTAACTATATGAAACTCTCCAAAGGAGATAAACTTTGCAAACATTTTTTTTATATTTATTTTTATTCCTCCTCATCCCCCTCTTCTTTCTCTTCTTATTCCTCTTTTTCTCCTCCTCCTCCTCCTCCTCCTCCTCCTTCAATATCTGGAATCGTGGATAATTTTCTTAATTCTCTACATGGCATTTTACTTGATATTAAACATAAGCACTCTTCATGATCATACAAATACTTTTGATTGCCAGGATGATATTTATCTAGTGGTCAAAGGCCCAACTTGAAGATAATTAGTTCCAAGAATCTAGAGGCCACCCACATATCATAGCTCATGCCCACTTCCTTCATTTTTAAACCCAGCCATGGTGGGTTAGTTCTCATATCACGTCATTCGGACCTCTTCTTCTGCCATCCTCTTATAATTTGAAGGATGCTTGTGATTACACTGGGCCAGATAATCCACGATAATCTCCCTATTTTAAGGTCAACTGATTAGCAACATTAATTCCATCTGCATCTTAATTCCCTTTTGCCATGGAACATAACATATTTGCATGTTCCAGGGTTAAATGTCCTTTTAAAAATTATTTATTAGTAAATGAATAAATTTTACACGAAAAAGTGGGAAAAACACCCATAAGTCCATCACCCCTCTTTATATTAATTTTTTTTTTTTTTTTTTTTTTTTGAGACAGAGTTTCCCTCTTGTTACCCAGGCTGGAGTGCAATGGTGCGATCTCGGCTCACCACAACCTCCGCCTCCTAGGTTCAGGCAATTCTCCTGCCTCAGCCTCCTGAGTAGCTGGGATTACAGGCACGCACCACCATGCCCAGCTAATTTTTTGTAGTTTTAGTAGAGACGGGATTTCACCATGTTGACCAGGATGGTCTCGATCTCTTGACCTTGTGATCCACCCGCCTCGGCCTCCCAAAGTGCTGGGATTACAGGCGTGAGCCACCGTGCCCGGCCTATTAATTGTTTTTTACATGATAATTTTATATATTTTTAAATTAAAATTGCATTGTAGATAATTAATGTTGTGAATATCTTGTCAATAACAGAATAAAATCCCATTGATTATATCCTCTGACATTTGTAGGGTTTCCATTGTAAGTATATGTGTGTGTAGTGTTAGCTCTTAGAGTTGGAATAAACGTTGTAGTGCATCAAGGTTTTAGTTTTCCTGCATGTAAGATATTTTTGTGCTAACCCCAGAAATTTAATTAAAAGGTCAATTAAGGGTGTGGACAATTTAAGGCTTGCCAAATTGCCTTCCTGAAATCAGTGTATCCATTTATAAATCCACTGGCATTGCTGACTTTGTTTTGGTAAACTTTGCAGTTTTAAAACATAAGTCCTGTGTTCCTAGACTCTGGTTTACTAATTATTGATCTGTTTGACCAGTTACATGTTTCTCAAATAAAATTTTGGCTGGGTGGGGTGGCTCAAGCCTGTAATCCCGGCAGTTTGGGAGGCAGAAGTGGATGGATCACCTGAGGTCAAGAGTTTGTGACTAGCCTAGCCAACATGGCGAAATCCTGTCTCTACTAAAAATATAAAAATTAGCCAGGCATTGTGGTGGGTGCCTATAGTCCCAGCTACTATGGAGGCTAATGCGGGAGAATGGCTTGAACCTGGAAGGTGGAGGTTGCAGTGAGCCAGTGGTGCCATTGCTCTCCATCCTGGGTGACAGAGTGAGACTCTGTCTCCAAAAAAAAAAAAAAAGAAAGAAAAAATTTTGTATTTTTGTATTGACCAGTGATTGTGGTTATGGTAATACATTTTCATACAATGTGATGATGGAGACTGCTATATCAAGGGTTTCAGTGTAGTCACTTTGGATTCTCTGTTTCTTAGAGAATGTCTAAAGTTACCATTAGGCTTTTCAGGGTCCTAGCTCTTAAATATAAATACATTTCTAGGTAACTCGTATCCCATGGTTGACAAAAGGGCACTTATCTGTGGAAAGAGAACTTTAAAAGTTAAAAGACATTTTATGAATTATTCCTATGTGTTCATATTCAGAAGCTTCTGTGGTCATTGTGATTATTACATGTTAATATGGTTCCTGGTTCATAACTCCCATGGCCCTTACTACAGTCTTTTCTTATAATATTGGAGTGCTTTAGGCCTCAGGAGCAAGTCTCAGAAAATAGAATGTTTCTTTCTGACCTTTTCCTGCCTTCCTTTCACCTGTCAAAGGCAGGACTTTAATCTGATTGTAGGTTATAAGACCCTCATTCCGGGAGGGCTCCTCTTACCCTGTAGGAAGGAATGCTGCACAAAGGAACCAAAAAGAATCTGAACAGACAGGCCTTGCTGGGTTTCTTCTCTTATTCTATTAGCATTATAGCTTACCCTTATTGTCCAGTCATCTTTCTACACAGCTGTTCATACTTTGTTGAACCTATGCATAAAAATAAGACAATTTTCCCTGTATCTTTGGATCTTCATTATGAAGGATCCTTGTCAATACACATTGAATGAATAATCTGTCTTTTATGAATTGATTTCTGAGTGAACCTTCAGAAGTTCAAGGGAATGCCCCCCATGCCCCCCTTGGCCTCTGCAGTGTGCATGTATTCAAGCCAAGAAATACCTCTGGAAAAAAATCTGCTAACAAGTCGTTATTTATGAAGAGACAACTCAATTTACCTTTTCCTGTTATGTTTGGATTTTTGAGATCATGTATTAACTTTACAGTAAAATTAAATATTATACTGAAATAAGATCAAATAAAATCAACCCAAACTATAAATAATCTTAACCTTTTTTTCTGATCAAAAGGAAGATGTTGAATAGGGAAATATAGTCCCTCTGCAAGTAGTTGAAGAAGTTTGGAGCCCCAGCAACACATTTCCCAGCTGCCTCTCTGGGTCTTTATAGCCTGTGCAATAGGAGCTCCCCTTACTACAGCCCCATCTCTTTGAAATCTATCTCTCTGAATTCCTGTTGCTCTCAGAACTTGTACCGTATCATTTAAGAATTATAAAATGCTCCTGTAATTTGCTTTCTTCCTATATTATATTATTAATATATGCTAGTCTTGTCTCTGAAACACAATTGTAAACTCTCTGAGAGTAGGAATTGTATCAAATTCTCTGGCACTTACCATAATTGTTGCCATAGGAGAGGGCATATAGTATTTGCTTAAGAAATACCCTTTGATTGAATGACTGCAGATCTGCTATTATTTAGGATCAGCCATGCTGTGCTGCAGTAAGGCAATAACAGCTTCATCTGGCTTAACACAGCAAAGGTTTATTTCCTGTTTGTGAAAGGTCATTTGAAATGGCAGGGGCTCTTCTCTGTTCACTAAGTAGGCATACAGGCTTCTTTCACTTCAAGACTCCACTACATCAGCACGTGATTTCTAAGTTTGCTGTGTGAGGGAAAGGAAGGGATGAAGGAGTTACAGTGACTCTGTTTCATACCACTTTGGTTCGAATTTCTGTATCTCAGGAATTAGTCCCATGGGTCTAGCCTAGCCACAGGGGTGGCTAAGAAATGTAGGGAAGTACATAGATGTTCAGGAGCACTGATTGTCTATGCCACACATCTATATGACATCCTCCCGCAAAATAGCTATACTAACTAGTACTTCATTAGTGTCAGTGGGACAGCGGATCATTAAACTGGGCTCAGTTTGTATTAGCAACCAGATGTGCTAGATCTATTCACTCAGCAGGCATTTATTGAGTGCCTCTGTATACCAGGCACTATTTTAGGTTTTGGGAATACAGCAGGGGGAAAAACCATCAAAAGTTCTTACACTCACAGAACTAAGTTTTTCGTGGAAGGTGATAAACAGTTAACAAACAACATACAAAGTTTGTTAGTTGGTGATACATATTGGAGAAAAAATAAAGTACAGAGGGAAATAGGGAATGTATTGGTGTGAAGAAGGAGGTTAGATTGCAATTTTAAATAGATTGATCAGGGAAAGTGTCACTGAGAAAGTATCACTGGAGCAAAAATCCAGAGATGAGAGGGCCAGTCATTTGGCTGTCAGAGCAAAGAGCATTCCCATAAGAGGTAACAGATACAAAGCCCTCAAGGTGGCAATGGGGGGTAGGCATGGAGTACTTGGCATATCTTGTGAATGGCAAGAAAGCAAGTGTGGTTGCAGCAGGTGTGCAAGAGAGGATAGTGGAAGGATTGGGAGTGTGCTGAATACAGGCTATGTAGAACCTTATATGCTATTTAGGGTCAATGGCTTCTGCCCTGTAACATATGACACCATTCAGGAGTTTTGTGAAGAAGGGTGACACAATCACTGGCTGCTGTGTTGGGCTTAGATTATAGGGTCAAGGGCAAAAGCAGGCAGACACATTAGAGGTGACAGCAAATTTTAGGTGACAAATGGTGGTGGCTTGGACCTTTTCCATTCCCCCCAAAAGTTGAAGGGCCACATTTTAAAGGGGAAAATGAATGCACAAACGTAAGATAGTTTTTGCTAATAAGATGTAAGTATACAGCCTAATTGTAATGTAATTTATTCTTACCATGCATCTCATATTCTGTTGTTTCATTTATTGATTCAACAAGCATCTATTCAGTATTACTTCTTGCCAGGCCCTCTGTTAGGTACTGAGATAACAAATAAAAAATGATCTCTGCTTTTTGGAAACTTATGTTATAGTAGGATTATAGAAATTACCAAGCATATAATATCATGTTAAAACCCAAAACAACCACAGCAGTAGAAATATAATCACTGCATAATTAAATGATGGAAATAACCAAAATTTATGAACTGTTTACTACGTGCTAGACATACCTATGGATATGATGATGATATAGATGGTCATTATAATTGTTATATTTTGTTGGCTATTTTTATAGCCAAATATACCATTTTAAAGTTAGAAAACTAGTGACCAAAACCCTAATCTGTTGGAAAGTATTTTTTCTGTGCTCTACAATTCAATGTAATCCTTGGTAATGTAGGATTATGTAATTCAATTAGGTAATTACATTACTAAGGACTTTTATCAGTCTAGTGCCAATCTAAAACCCAGCCCAGAAAATGTGTGTTTCATTTTTTCCCAATGTTACTAGTACCTCAGCCTCTCTTGATTTGTCAGCCTATTTAAGGTATCTTCATTGCATGTTTTTTTTTTTTTTCTTTTAATCATCTGCTTTGAAGGAGACTAAGCTGAAATTGCTGCTCAGCTCCCAAGATGGTGCCACCCAAATTGCATAACCTTTTCTACCTTTGCGGCTGCCTCACTGTGGTTCATCCTTTTGACTGGCAATACCTAAATCCTGTTGCCCATATGAAATCGTCAGGTAAGAGGTATATTTATTTGTTCAAGGTCTTGAGCAACTGGTCCGTAGCCATACTTCAAGTGGCCCCCAAGAAGTTGCACATCTGCATATCTAAACAAGTCCTATTTAAATGGTTATGTAGATCCTCTTTTCTGCTGGAGCAGGGGAAAAGTTCTCACTTTTTCCTCATTTCAAATGAAATTGAAGAAGAACCAGTGTTCTTCAGTATCAGGACTGCAGGACAGAACCAGGATGGGATGTTTTAAGATACACTGGAAGCTCAGCTTGCAGTCACCACAGAGAGCCTCCTTAATGCCACCCCTTTTCTCTATGACTGCCCTAACACATGTCTACACACAAACATAGTAATGCAACTGCTCTGGAGTACACTCCAAGGCAGCCTCAAAACACCTGCTTTCATGAGGTGGAGAAGAGGCGGGTGTCTTTTTCAACAGGCATAATCTTGGTTAATAGTGGAAGGTCGTGTGAGATAACAATTTCAGGTCTTGGGATCCAAAGGGAAGCAATCCTTCCTACTTATCATAGAGAGAAACAGGGACAAGTAGGTGCTAGGGAGTTCTGGATGAGAATGAATGTGATCACTCATTCTTTCTTGCCTTGTGGTAAGAGGGGAAAGAATGAAGAGGAAAACTTAGACAAATACAGGAAGAGTTTGCCAAAACAGGGCAACCATCTTTAGACAGCTACATGTAATATCACTAAGAGGGACCTTAACTGCAAAGAGATTGTTTCTGAAACTTTGCAAATTCCTGCTCATTCCAGAGGGTTGTGATGCATTAACTTCTCTTTCCAGTCTCCTGTGGAGAGCAGTGCAGGAGGCTTCTGAATGTTGTCATACTGACTATACTCACAGAACTGTGCATCTGGATAGTTGTTATTCTGGATCTAGTTGTTCAAGCTTGATGGGTGACTCTTTAGCATTTACAAAAGAGCTTTCATAACTCAGTACCTTATAAATTTTGCCCTACTGCGTAACCAGGAAAATGAATGCATTAGTAGGAGAGGTTCTATATCTTATATCTACATTTGCATAGGATGTAGAATAATATCTCACAAGTCCATTCATCTTACAACATATCAGGAAGTTAAGGCATCAAGGATAAACTGGTGGCTAAGACAATAAGCGTATAGCCAAATTCAAGGGTCCTGCAGCCTAGATGACATTAATTCATGTTTCCTATTACCTTTTTCATAGATTGAGAATAGGTAATATCTCAAATGGTGGGAAAATCATCCAGGAAACATTTCTGTCATTCACTTTTTATTGGTACAGGGTAAAAATGTCAAAACATTTTTCTTTTTAATCTCTTTATGTTTAAAAATCATTGGAAAGCTGTCATTGGACTGACAGAAACTTGAGGACAGAGACATTGTTTTATTTATCTTTACAGTCCCACCATTGAGTGCAATACAATGCTCATTCTAAATTCAAAAATAAATGCAGACCAGGAACAGTGGCTCATGCCTATAATCCTAGCACTTTGGGAGGCTGAGGTGGGTGGATCACTTGAGGTCAGGAGTTCAAGACCAGCCTGGCCAACATAGTGAAATCCTGTCTCTATTTAAAAACAAATACAAAAAATTAGCTGGGTGTGGTGGCACACAACTATAGTCCTAGCTACTAGGGAGGTTGAGGCAGGAGAATTGCTTGAACCCACGAAGCGGACATTGCAGTAGTCAAGACTGCACCACTGCACTTCAGCCTGGGCTACAGAGTGAGACTCTGTCTCAAAACAAACAAAAATGAATGCATACATACTGGTTAACATACTAGAAATAGTTTATTAAATAAGATTAAAATAATAGGTGATTCTTTACAATTTCTTACTAAATGAATATACAGAAAATATGGCTATGCAGGTAAAAAGGTTTGTAAAAATGGGCTAGAGATACCCTCAGCCCATTTTTGCTAATGGATTACATAAAGCCATATGAGTAATTTTCCTAGCATGTATACAATTCATCCCCAAACCCAAAACTGAACATCAGGAATATTTGACAAATGTGGACGACGAAAAATATGTAATAGGATTAATAGCATACTATAGGTTCTGATCCTTTTATTAAAATAAAGTTGAAGAAAACTAAGAGGAGACATTTATAAATTCTGAACCACAAAATGATGTGAGTGGTTATTTGATCTGATGAGTCTTCTCCTTCCACTTCCTTAATGGTGACTCCTGAAAGATGGTTGGAGAATGGGAAATCCAGGCCTATAACTGGGTCAGCTGCAGGTTATGGAGCCTGTTCCACAGTCAGCCCCAGGCACCCTGGCACTAGTGCACAGGATATCATAGACCTATGTCAAAATCTGGGTCAGCTCAATGATTCCTGAGGCCTTCTCAGGGGTCAAGTGTTCTGGAACAGGCAGACCTATAGCCTCACCTTGACCTGAATGCTCCTGAATGCTGAGTGAGGAACCTTTTCAGAGAGAGCAGGTATTGGACAACCCAGGCACTCCTAATTTATTGGAAAAGGTTCCCTGGGCCTTTGAGATCTCACAGGCAGAGGCTTGTGCTGGGTGAATCTCTCCCATGGCTCCAGAACTGAGCCTCCAATTCTAGAAGTAGTGTCTCCAACACCAGCTGTGGCTCTGGGACTCCTTAGGGAGTTGTGTGAACCAGAGGTCTCCCTGCACCAAGCCCTGCACAGGCACATCATGCCTGCCTAGGAGTGGGGCAGCTCCAGGCTGCTCATCACAGAAGAAAGGGCAGGTGTCCTTGCCCTAAGGTCCTTCTCCTCGGGACTTGACATCTCCCTACTACACCAGAAGCATGGCTCAGTACATAGTCTTTTATTGGAAGAAGAATAGCCTTTTGTAATTCTAAATAGACCCTGAAAGTTCACCTAACAGGTAAAGTTTTTAAAAATAGTTTCTGTGGTTTGAATCTACCTGTGGGGAGGTTAGATCTGCTAAAACTCAAAAACCTTCCCTAAGGACACAGCACAGATTTACCTAGCCAGAATAAATTAACTCTGAGGAAGGAGTAAATAGCATTAGTTATCTGCCCATTATGTGTCATGTTTTGTACTAAGAACTTGATCTACATTCTCACCTCATCTTTACAACTGTCCTGTGGGCTCGTCAAATGCTTTTATGTCATTTTACAAATGTGGATCGGAGAAGGGAGCGAATTGCCTAGGCCAGAGGATTATAGCTTGTAAGAGGTACACCTGAAATCTGAAATAGAACCATGTCCACCCAATTCCCAGGGTTCATCTCAACCCCGTCACCCCTTGCCTTCCTTGCAACTATCTCTTACCATTTGACCATGGATTGCTGACCTGTGTGTCAGTCCAGGTGGTCTGGAACTTCAGCCCAGTGTCTCTTAAACTTTAATGGGCATTCCTTTTCCGATTCAGTAGAATTGGGGTAAAGTCCAGGGGCCTGCATTTCCAAGCTCCAGGTGGTGCCAATGATGCTGGTCCACAGATCAGCTTTGAGTGGCCGAGCCTTATGTATTGAAAGGCTTCATCATGGGCAGGTGTTTCACATATGAGTCACCAGGCTGTAAATTGTGGAGGCTGTAAATTGGTTTCTCCGCATGACTCAAAACCTTTCTGGGCAGTGTTCCATGGTATTGATGCAGATACCATACCTAACATAGCTCTTGGCAACTGGCTAGCAGAGAGTAATCAACTCCCACCATCCAACGGAATGAAGGAGTGGACAAGCTGGATATGTCAATAAAAGTGAGAGTCTGAATATACTGATATTTGATTCAACATCATGGAATTAAATATGGATTTGATTGGGGTTTAGAAAGGATAACAGATGAAGCTGCAGGAGTATGTGGAAGGGTTGCACCAGAAAGAGAAAAGGAGTTTTAGAAGTGGGTGAGTAAAAGACTGTATATGATAAAGGGTTTAAAGGAAAACAAGGGAGACCAGTGGCCATTCAGGTTACCTATGCTCATTTTCACAAGTATTTGTTATGCATTGACTATGTGCCAGACATGTGATCTGTTAAGATCAGCGATGCAAAGACATGGATATTTCTGGAGAAATAGCCTAGTGTAGCATGCAGATACATAATTTTAATATGTGATAGGAAGAATGATTATGTGTGTGTACACACATACACATAGAATCTATATAACACTGAGGATGAAATGATTAAGTCTGGGGAATCAGGGAAGGCTTCAGAGAAGATAGGATATCTGATCAAGGTATTGAAGTTTGAATAGGAGTTTGCCAAAAGGATTTAAGCATAGGCAGTAGCATTTACAAAGGTGCAGTGGCATCAATCAACCCAGTGTGTAGCTCAGGAGTGCTGTAGCACAAGGAAGGGGGATAACTTAAGGGGAAGAGACAGAAGAAGAGTACGAGGCAATGGGCCTCCAGTGGAGGGTTTCTTTGCAGTGCCGAGAAATTTGGGATTTAACTTGTGCACCTGTGAACCTCCGTATGTTTCAACCCCAGAATCCTGGAAGGATAGGCCACATTTGTGCAAGTAGCAGTGTGTTTGCTTAGGAAAGCATGTGTAGAATTAAATTCCTCCTACAAACTGCCTTCCAAAGAGATTACAGTACATTCCTCATTCAAGGAAAGAACATTTACTGATAGGAAGCCATTGAAGGATTTTCAGAATTGTCTGGTGTTATTTGTGTTTTAAATCCCTCCAGGAGCTGTGTAAAGGATGTGTCCCAAGGGGTTAAGATCCAAGGTGGATAGAACAGGAGAGAGAGCAACAGCCTGGTCAAGAGACAGGACATCAATGAGACAGTTGAGCTAGAGGGTCAGAGATAGATTGTGGAGATCTTCCTAACCTAAAAACTGATGTTAGAAATAGAGGCTTGGTTGAACGTAGCGGGCTGCTGAGAAAGAGACAGGAGAGTAGAATGATTCCCAGGTTTCTAGCTTGCGGTGCAGGAGATGAGGAGCTCTTGAGTTGCAGGCTGTGTGGCTGGAAGGTGAGAAGGGGGGAGTTGGAAGATGGTCATTGAGTTTCATTTTGGAAACTAAATGGTTTTGACATTCTTATGGGAAGGACATCAGGTAGAGATGTTGAAGGATAAGTTGTAGGCACAAATTGGAAATGTGAGATAAAGTTCATGTTTAGGAAAAACAGATTTGTGAAATCATCTTTAATATACTCTGGATAGAAGTAGAACGAGAGGGCAAGGTTGTAAACATTTAGGAGGTAACAGTCCAAGGCAACCTGGGAGAAGGGCAATGTCTATCTTCATCTTTTTACCCTCCAAAAACCCTACAGAGTGTTTCAAACAGAGCAGACCCTCAATACTTTTGTATTTTACTTGTTAGTTTGAGAAATAATGAAGGCCAGAAACTGTGGGAAGTAACTTGATTCTACTGGAATTTCTTTGCATAATAAAATCTGATGTGTAATGGATGACAAATGAAATAATATATACTTGTTTTTCAGCATGGGTCAACAAAATACAAGTAGTGATGGCTGCTGCATGCTCTGGCCAAACTAAAATTCCCCGGGGAAATGGGCCTTATTCCATTGGTTGTACAGACTTAATGTTTGATCACACTAACAAGGTAATGCTTTGATTTATCAGACTTATCCTGATACTCTAATATTGTCTGTCACTATGGCTCACTAGAAGGTGTCAGATGTGTCCTTGCCCTCACCTGAGAATGACTCATTTTGCAATGTGTATTTCTTCATATGAAGCCTTTTATTAGTTTAGCCATTCCCCAATTCTTTGCTATTGTCTGATTAATTTATCTATAAACCCTATTTTTCACTTCCTTAATATCTGAAGGCAGTCTGCTTATATTTTCTTTTCATTGAGATAAAATATTGTTTTACTGTTTCTCTTTCATGACTGTCTTCAATCACCACAGCAGCCTAAAAAGTTCTCTAGACCTCTTTGTGAACACAGAGGTACTTGAGTCCCTGCTAATGAAATAAGCAAAATAGCTGCTGGAATATGTCTGAGAAGCAACTTCTCTAAAAGTGCATTAATTTCTTTCTTAACAGGGCACCTTCTTGCGTTTGTATTATCCATCCCAAGATGATGATCGCCTTGACACCCTTTGGATCCCAAACAAAGAATATTTTTGGGGTCTCAGTAAATGTCTTGGAAGACACTGGCTTGTGGGCAACATTTTGAGGTTACTCTTTGGTAAGATTTCTGTTGATCCTTCTTTGTGAGCTCTAGTGTATAAGAAAACTTTGAAAACAACACAAATTTCAGGCAGTTAAGACCAAAGTAGATTTTTCTGCAGTGTAAATATCTCCTAAAATGATAAGGAAAGTATTTCTTTAAAGCCCAGGCAACTATGACAGAAGGAAGAGTTCTCATTTTGTCCATCCTGAGTTGGATGGGGGTGGCCAAGAGTATCAGACTGACTGACATCTTTCTATGACTGCTCTTTAGTTTTCCATCTGATGTACCACGGAGAGGGCAATAATGTGGTGAGAATAGCAGGTTCTCTGGTGTCGCCACTATCCTGCATGCTATGTGCCAAAGTCAGACCAAAAAAGACAAAAAGTAGAAGCCACCAAACTCTCCAGATCCAAAACAAAGGAGTCAAAGCTAATGCCTGAAGAGACTCTACTCTCATTCCCATCACCTACCCCCATCACTAAGACAATCTGATGTGCATTCTTTACTTATTTTCTACATTTTAGTAATGTAGAATTTTCCTTCCTTCCTTATCTGTTTGACTAGACTCTACGGATGTTGGGCTGATGTTAACTGTGTCTTCACGTTTCTCCTTCAAAACTATCTACAACTTTTGGGATTCATCTTAAACATCTGCTTCTAATTTTCTTGAAAACCCCTTATAACAGAAATTAAAATACTGTAACTCTGCATATTTATGTTGCAAAAAAACTTATAAATCACTTCATCACAGTCAGTCTTCATGACCACATCTGCATTTTATAGATGAGAAAGTGAAACACAAATGATTGCTAATAATACTGGTGACAATAAAAACTGAGAAGTGAAAGAAGACAATATTTTCATTTTTGAGCCCCTTACTATGTGATGGATAGGTGCTTTACATATATTAGCTTTACATATATTACCTAATTAAATAAAATTCTCAGAAAAAAACCTGTAAAAGAGATATCATTTTCTCAATTTTACAGAAGAGGAATCCGAGGCACAGAAAGTTTGAGGAACTTGCCCAGGATCCATAGCTAGGAAGTGGCAGAGCTGCATTCACGACTCTGTCTGAAGTCAGCAGTTTCTCTACCTTTGGCTGCGTGATTATGACCAAATTGTAAGGAGCAGAGTCTCTGATTGTTAGATTCTGGCTCTCAGTGTAATGTAGCTGAGGTTTTATGGGTAGTTTGTTTTTTTTTTGGGTAGTATAGGTAGTTTGGGTTCAGAACATTCCCTTCAAAGTTTTTCCAAAACCTGGAAACGGCAATAAGTAGCAGCCTTTGTGACTACACTGATAAGTAGGAAAATCTCTCACCTTAAGTACAGAGCTGGCAGTGAGAACTCATCATGAATGATCCTATGGTCTGAGAAAAGAACTTACAGTTCATGTCTTTGGTTCGTGAGTATCTAGTAGCAGTCTTTTTAATGAATTTACTATTCATCATAGAAAAGTAGATATAAATCAGATGGGTCTGCATTTTATGCTAATGAGATCTGAATTAAATTCACTAGCAACACTCACAGAAATCACTAACTATAATCTCCTGTCATTGTCTAGGTTCCATGACAACTCCTGCAAACTGGAATTCCCTGCTGAGGACTGGTGAAAAATATCCACTCGTTGTTTTTTCTCATGGTCTTGGAGCATTCAGGTAGTGTTTGAGAGGTTGAACAAGTTCAGCCTCTAGGAATAAATGACAGTTTTTTTTATTCAAAAAAGAAATAGCAGATTTTGGAATGTCATGCAGGCCCTTGTCTGGAGGAGTTGGGTTTCCTCAATAATTGGCTTTGGGTCTATTGATCAGTCCTAGCCCTATCTTGTCAAGTAGTTTTTTTTCCCTACTACTACCTCGTTGGGATTAGCCTCACAGCAGAGAAGAGAGGGTAATGCATTTTTGATAATTGCCCTTCTATATTGTAATATTTACACTTTTAAAATTATCCTCAGTAAAGTTTAGGACTTCTGAGAAACCAAGAATAGATGAGCTGTGAAAGGCATTTATTTATTATTTTTTTATTGCATTTTAGGTTTTGGGGTACATGTGAAGAACATGCAAGGTCGTTGCATAGGTACACACATGGCAGTGCGATTTGCTGCCTTCCTTCCCATCACCTATATCTGGCATTTCTCCCCATGCTATCTCTCCTGGAAACCATCATTCTCAGCAAACTGACACAACAGCAGAAAGGCATTTATTAAGAGAAATATCTGTGAAGGATAGAGAAGGAGCAGGAAAAGATGGGGAGAACCTAATTACCATGCTACAGGTTGGACACCTGAAAAGGTGATGGGGAAAGGAGAACGATTGGGTAAAAAGAACCTCAGACTATAACACAGTTCTAAGAAATATTGAGCCAGGCCAATGGAAGGAGTGCTTGACCAAATTTGCTTATCAAGAGTCCTGTATCTCATAGGAATGGGCTAATGTTAGTACTCACACCGTGCCAAATCTCTGGGAGCAGGTGACTGGATGCTTAGCTTCTACTTGACCATGGTGATGGATCCAGAGGGCAGAAGCTGGATGGGGTTTTTAGTTAACTATGCTGTATGTAGCATGATAGCTGAATGGCACATTTTCAGGACAACAACAACCCTCTTCACTTTCTTCCACCACTTTCTCAACTGTCACCCCTCTTCTACCTCAGGGGATTGTAAGATGCAGAAAGTAAGAGAGATGGCTTTTAGCTGGGAAGAAGTTGGGTAGCACCTGAAAAAAAGAATTCTCTTCAGCACTTTAGTTGTAGTTCAGTTAGCTGTTTGATTTCTCCCACACTAGTGATTGACAAATTAGAACCCAAGGGCCAAATGCAGCCCACTGCCTATTTCTATAAAGTTTTACTGGAACACAGACACACCCATTCATTTTTGTACATTGTCTATGGCTACTTTTGTCCTACAACATCAGAGTACAGTAGTGGTGACAAAGATTGTATGGCCCACAAAGCTGGAAATATTTACTGTCTGGCCTTCTACAGAAAAAGTTTACTAATCCCTGTGCCAGATCATTTCCCGCTCTTGAAAAGGTCCTGTGTTTTCAGCAACAAAGACATAGTTTCTAGCTACCTCCTTTTTATTCTCTGTGGACATTTCCTATTGAATGCATGGTATGAGGAAAAGGTTGTGCAAATGATGTGGAAGAGAGCATAAATGCAGTGCTTAGCACATGATTTTTCAATTATTTCACCCAGTCCAATCATTTAAATAACAGCTAACATGTGTTAAATATTTCACTGTTTCAAATACGATTATAAGTAATGAAAATGTATTAATTCAATTGATCCTCACTGATGAGATACCGTACTATTATAGCATCACCATTTTATAGATAAAGAACCAAGGCAGAGAAAATATTGTGACTTATCAAAGGTACACAGCTAACAAGTGGTAGAACCAGTGTTCGAACTCAGTGGTCAAACTGCAGATCTCATTCTCATAACTACCATACTGTCCTGATTTCCTATGTACGTTATCTTAGCAAAACCTTACAACTACCCTAAAACAAATGCTTTGCTCTTAGGCCCATTTTACAGGTGAGGACAAAAATGCAGTAATTACCTAAAATCATATAGCTGGTAAGTGGCAGAGCCAAGATTAAAACACCAAACTCTCAAAGACAATATTTATAATCCCTGCACCGGTTTTCTCAACCTCAGTAGTCTTTGACATTTTGGACCAGATAATTTCTTGTTGTGTAGTGTTGCCCTGTGCATTGTAGGATGTTTGACAGCATCCCTTTACCCACTAGACACCAGTAGGACTCTCGCCCACATTAGTGATAATGAAAATACCTCCAGACGTTGTCAAATATCCCCTAAGAAACAAAATCACCCTCCTTTAAGAACCATAGCTTTCCATTCTACCCCAGGGCACTACTACAGGGATGTAATGGCCTTCACGTTCCCAGTTTCATTAGTGGACACAGCCTTGTAATCATGACCGGTAGTTGTAATGCTTCCCTCTTTTTGTTTTGAAGGACACTTTATTCTGCTATTGGCATTGACCTGGCATCTCATGGGTTTATAGTTGCTGCTGTAGAACACAGGTATGTTACCTGATGTAATTGGGCTCTTTGACCAACTACACGGAATGTTAATGCTCACAACTATGTTTCTAATTTTCATAAAAGTTTATTTAAAATGTTGATGAAACTTTCAAGTATGATTACATGATGAGCAAAAAAGGAGATTGGGTTTGATTGTTGACTTAAAAATATCTAACATTTCTAGAGTGTTTATTGCCTGCCATATCCTATGTGAAATGTTTTTAATATACTATTTCATTTAGTCTTCATAACAATCCTATTAGATGGTTATCATTATTGTTGTTGTTGTTTTAAGGGAGAGGAATATAGAGGTGATAAAGGATAATTTGCCCAAAGTCACACAACTAGTAAGTAGCAGTGCTGGGATTTGATTCCTGAGAGCGAGTTTCAACATGGCTAACATTGCCTCCCAAAATTAGGAAGATAGAATGGATTTAGTTTACCTGCAACTTGACAATAGACAATAAGGTTTTTTTTTTTCCTGGAACTCCTTTAGGGTGTTCTTTAATTTAAGAGAAAGTAGAGAGTAGGAGAAGAAAGGGAAGTCAAAAGATCAAAGGAAGTTGAGCCAAGGATGGAATTGAGAAATATGGGTCAGATGAGGAAGGGGAAAGGAGCATGCATAAATAATAATTTTGCTTGTATTATAGAGATGGATCGGCATCTGCAACTTATTATTTCAAGGACCAATCTGCTGCAGAAATGGGGAACAAGTCTTGGCTCTACTTTAGAACCCTGAAACAAGAGGATATGCATATACGAAATAAGCAGGTACATTGCAATGAAAGGAGAGGTGGATGGTGACCTAAAAGCATGTACAAAAGGACGTCATTTGTTAATTTAATTTTACATATGTCAAGTTATGCTCCTAGCTCTCCTATTTCCCATTCCCAAAAGATCTGTCAATAGATTCCTAGAGTAGTAAAATTCCCTTAATGGAATGACTGGTTCATAGTAAAAACAAAGGCAAATACAAAAATTTGGGAGATGACAGTGAATATTCAGAATTCCCTTGAATTACAACTTCTAATTTTAGAATCTAAAAAGTGCTAGAAAATAAATTAATAGATTCTCCCTCATAGGCAATATAAAAAGATTACTTTTCAGAGAGACAGTATACAATAGATTTAAGAGTGTGGGGCCGGCCAGGTGCGGTGGCTGACGCCTGTAATCCCAGCACTTTGGGAGGCTGAGGCAGGCGGATCACGAGGTCAAGAGATTGAGACCATCTTGGCCAACATGGTGAAACCCCATCTCTACTAAAAATACAAAAATTAGCTGGGCGTGGTGGTGCGTGCCTGGAGTCTCAGCTACTCGGGAGGCTGAGGCAGGAGAATTTCGTGAACCCAGGAGGCGGAGGTTGCAGTGAGCCAAGATTGCGCCACTGCACTCCAGCCACCTTAGAACCCAACTTTCTATGTTTGAATCCTGGCTCCACCACTTAGCTTTGTTACAAAATAAATGAATAACAACATTATTTGTCTTACAGAGCTATTAGGGCAATTAAGTGAAGTGTATTGGCTTCCTCTTTGTAGTGGGTATTTTACACATGTTATCACATTTAAGCCCACCCACATTTCCTTTAGGTAGGCATTATTATACAATCAATGGAAACTCAGAGAGGTTAAGTAAATCATCTCAAGTCACATAGTAGGTAAGCAACAGAGCCAGGATTTGGACTAAGCTATACCTATGTGCAAAGCTGATGCCTGTGTCATCATGGTAGCCTGTATTATAATCACTAATCACATTTCCAGTTTATAACTGACCACCCATTTTTCCCGCACACAACTTCTACACAAACTTTAAAATAAGTGTCATAACTTTTTACTTTGTTATTTCCTTCTTCTAATTATTAGGTACAGCAAAGAGCAAAAGAATGTTCCCAAGCTCTCAGTCTGATTCTTGACATTGATCATGGCAAGCCAGTGAAGAATGCATTAGATATAAAGTTTGATATGGAACAACTGAAGGTAAGCTAAAAAAAGAAAGTAATTTTTCCCTTTTCCTACAGTTCTTTATCGTTTTTTGTCATCTGATTTTCTGATATATTGCAAGGTACAATATGACAAAGGGCTGCAACCACTGTCCCCCCAACACACACACACACACACACACACAGCAGTACAAGTAATATATTGCAGCAATGAAGAATGCATTATCTTGGACTAAATATGAAATTGCCAAAAGCTAGTCAGTTTTGATCTACAAAAATAGCAATGTCATATGGTTCAACTTAATTCCTGTGGCAGTATTATTATTTCATGGACAGCTCCTGCATGTTTTTAAGCTTGATCTTGAAAATTTGACACAAGTTTTGGAGCAGGTGGAAAAATATCAGACAGAGTGGGCAGCATAAGCAAAGACTCAAAAAAGTATGTGTGGCATGTGGAGTCCGGAGAATAGGGGAAACTAGAGAGTAAGATGATGGTCTGTTCTCCAGATACAATGAAGAAATTTGTTGTCACCTCAAGCAACCACGCTCTTCTGTATCCTTGCCTTTGTTTATATTGTCCCCTTGGTTTGACACACCCTTCCCCTTAACTAACTCCTACCTAATTTCAAGACTCCAGTTAACCATCACCTCCTCTAAGAAGCTTTCTTGGACCCCAATGCTCACTTCTGGACTGGGCTCGCTGTTTGTCACGTGTGTTCCTTGGTGCCACTGTATTATATTACATCATGCCTCTGTATGACTTTCTTCCCTGATGGACTGCAAGCTCACTAAAATGAGCCTGCAGTGCCTGGCCACAGAGGAGGTACTCAATAAATACTCATGGAATGAACAAACTAATAAACATGGGGTGAGGAGAGGCAGAAATCAGAACTGATGTATGAAGACCATTAAGTTTACTTTCCCCCTAAAATGCAATAAAAAAATAAAAAAAATAAAGAATAAAAAAAGTTTACTTTCAAACCTTTACATATGATATATATATGTATATATATTTACATATATATGTAAATGTTTTTATATGTATATATGTCTGTGTGTATGATATGTATAAATGTATATGTGTATATGTATATTCTGTTTTATAAGAAATTAAGGTATTTAACCATCTCCATTAAATGAACAATTATATGTTTGACAAAATCATTTCTTCTAACACCATGAGATAGTTATAAATTTATATCACGCTTTTTCACATAGGGCTCTATCGATAGAGAAAAAGTAGCAGTAATTGGACATTCTTTTGGTGGAGCAACAGTTATTCAGACTCTTAGTGAAGATCAGAGATTCAGGTAAGAAAATAAGATAGTAGAGCAAGAGAATAGCAAATTATTGGAAGAGGGAGAGTAATAACTCATGTAAGATCTAATTTTTTAAATTAAATTCTTAGTGAAGAAGGGATCTCTTGGAGTTTATAAGGCTATTTTTTTTTTTTTTTGCCTCCATCAAGTACTCTATATACATTTTCCTAGGCTAAAACATCTACTTCTCCTGCTATTAAAATCTCTCCCTACTCCCATATGTTTTCCCTCATTATTTTTGTCTACCCAAGGGCTTAACACTTTTCACTTAAAATTTATCTTTATATAATTTTTGTGACATAATGGTTGTGATAATAATATTGTCATCTTACAGTACTGCCAGACTTCTCCAGTGGGCAGGATATTTTTTAATTAGGTTTTTTTTAAGATGGAGCTGGATCTAAAATTACGATTATCTGCTTAGGATTCATGACCAGACCCCAGTTTTCTAGCTTGCAGGAACCTTTTCTTTCTTGAACTACTTCATTCCAGACTGACGAGATCACATAGGACCAACCGTACAAAGAGTGGGCAGGATCATTTGTGAAACTTCACCTCAGATTTCTTAGAAGTCTATTTCAGTGTAAGAGAATTCTCTTCTTTCATTCATTTAGAAAATGGTCAGGAAACATAGAATAAACTTACTTTTAAAAAGGATGTCAGTTACATTTTCAAATGATATGCTCCATATGTTTTTCTTCAACCCTCAGTTTTTCAGCTGAAGCGCCTCTAAATATAAAGTAATGGGTCCAGTTGTTACTCTGAAAAAGCTATAATAAATACAGTACAAGGTAGATAAAAGCTCTGAAAATCGAGGTGAATTTATTATCCTTTTTCAGATACTTCACAGTATTGAAGAAATTATTATGTATTTTAAAATTTATTTGAATAAAAAATTTTAAGGATATATCATTCAAATGGTTGCAATTCCTAAAAGGCATATAAAGAAAATTAGTATACTTAATTCCAAGTCTGTTGCCATACAAAGCTAATCATATTCCTTTCCCACATTGAAGTATAATACCTGTTGAACCCAATGAGATAATCCATAATAAACTGGTATGGTGTGTGTCCATACCTAGCATTATTAGGAAGTCCTAAATGTTGGCTAGTATGTAATCAACCTTCTTTCATCATTGTCAACAAATATCTACAGATGTGGTATTGCCCTGGATGCATGGATGTTTCCACTGGGTGAAGAAGTATATTCCAGAATTCCTCAGCCCCTCTTTTTTATTAACTCTGAACATTTCCAATATCCTGCTAATATTCTAAAAATGAAAAAATGCTACTCACCTGGTAAAGAAAGAAAGATGATTACAATCAGGTAAGTATTAGTGACTTATTTCATTATCTGAAACAAACTTGAAGCTTGGACAAATATCAGTGGATAGCATTTGGTAACCATTACAGAATTGCTGAATTGGTTGTTTAGACTTTCAGTAAGGAGAGTATTAGATAATCTCAGTTTCTAAGTACATTTAGACTTACTCTTTTTAAAATGGAAATGTTAATGTATATAGTCTAATGTATATAGTCTATAGACTAATATAGCCACTATATTAGTCTGTTCTCACATTGCTATAAAGAAATACTTAAGACCTGGTAATTTATAAAGAAAAGAGGTTTAATTGGCTCACAGTTCTGCAGCCTATGCAGGAGGCATTATGTTGGCATCTGCTCAGCTTCTGGGGAGGCCTCAGGAAACTTATAATTATGGCGGATGGCAGTCGGGGCATGAGCACTTCACATGGCTGGAGCAGGAGGAAGAGAGGGATGGGTGAAGGTACTGCATACTTTTAAATAACCAGGTCTCACAAGAACTATCACAGTGACAGCACCAAGGGGGATGGTGTGAAACTATGAGAAACTACCCCCATGTTCCAATCACCTCCCACCAGTCCCTACCTCTGACACGGGGGATTCCAACTTAACATGTGATTTGGTGGGGATACAGATCCAAACTATATCACTGGTAATTAAAACTAGCATTATACTACATGCTACTTTAAATACCAGAACATGCCTATACATTTTTGGGAGCAGAGCTAGGGGGAAGTATTCCATCATTAGTCTGGGCTAGGAACTCTAAAGAAAAAGTTAGATTACCTATTGAGACCTGCCATATACTTACGTGATGAGAAAGAATATGAATTTATAAATTTCCCAAAGCTATAATGGGGTACTATCAAGTGTTGGCAATCCTTATATCCTGGATGCGAAAAAGAACTCCTGATAAGGTTTTGAACTCTCAGTGAGATATTACAAAGCAAAGGTAGACCTGAACTTACCCCTCTCCTATCTGAAACCTGATTTATTTAGAAGAGAAGAGAAGAGGCAGGAAGGAGACATACAGAGTATAGGCGATAACCACTATGGGCCCAGAGAACAGAGGGGTCTCTTCCAACCGAAAGGGATTCTTAGATGATACTAAAATTGGATTTTTTAAGATCGAGAGAGTTTAGATAGTAAGAAAGCGTTTAGGTATTTCAGGCAAGGACTTCCATTTAGCTTATGTCTATGGTTCGTCTCTCTAATTCTAAAACAGAAATAATACAAATCACCTAACCTTCCCTCAACCCTACTTCCTTACTTGGTTCTCACCTTGTCTTTCTTCTCTTCTCTGCTAGAAACCTTCAAAGAATAGACAATATCAATTATTGCATGTGCTTGTTTCTACTCACTCTTTGACTCTTGTAGTCTAGCTTTCTGGGCCCCCACCAGATGCCAAAGCAAAAGCATTAAAAACCTGCTGCACACCACATCAGCAGCCTCTTCACGGCCTCAACCTTGCTCTCTGCATCTGTTCAACGTTGCTGACCACCCCTCTTCCTGCTCCCTTGGCTACTACGACCCTCCTCTTTGCTGCTTCTCCTCGTCATTTATGCCGCTCCTTCCATTTCTCTTCCTCAGGCCAGTTCTCCACTGTCAGAGCATCCAAGCTTCTGCCTTCAATTCTCTCATAATCCTGCTGTTTATCTTCTTTATGTTTCTGACATTCAAGTTTCCTATTAGAATGTGGGGAATAGTGAGAGGGAGTTAAGTAGAGTTGTTTTGAGCTTAGATAACTATTAAGAATGATGGTTTGTTTATAAGAACCAGCAGAGTGAAGAGCTTTGGGCAGGGCTGGGAAGATGTCTTTTAACTTCACCATATCTTAGCTTGAGACCTGGGAAATCTGTATACAGATGCCTGGCCACAAATTGGATGATTACATAATTTACATGATATCATAGATGAAACATCTGAAGTAGAAGAGATTACAAAGTGAGAAAAGTGTTGGTCTGGCAATAGAATCCTAAGGAATGCCTACATTCAGCCAATGGGAAATGGGTGAAGAGCCAGGGAAGAACACAGAGTGGTTAGGGTCAGAAGGGAAGGTGCAACGTTAAAGAAACAAAAAGAAAAGAAGAGCAAGAAAGCCATTAACTGGCAAATGTCCCAGTGGTGGTAGAAAATGGGCACTTAAAAAAAAGGCCATTCTATTTGATGTTAGGCTATTGATGAATTCAGAGAGAAGTGCAAATGATATTTTTAAAGTGCCTAGAGTTTAATACTGGGAAAGATGTTGTTTGTTTGTTTGAAATCTATTTCCTCTAAGGCTTAAATCTAAAGTGATTTGACTAGCATCAAATACATGGCACGATCAATGGTGAGGGGAGGTGGCAGGTTCTGGCTCTGATTTCAGGGACTTTTCAATACACAACACATTCCAATACTTGGAAGTATTCCTATTCACTAAAAAGCAGGAATCATTCCTTCTAAAATCAAGATGCCAAGCAAGACCAGGATTCTTTAAGTTGTATCTCTACAGGAAAGATGAATATACTCTGGGATCCCTAAACAAACAGCCTGTGACCCTTGAAATACATTTAAGTAGATCAAATTACAAGTTTTATTTCCTTGGTTTTCAGTAAATAGACCAACAAGGTCAGTATCTTTCCTCTACCCTAACTAAAAAAAATAATTTTATTAAACAATGTTACTTTTAAATGTCTTGTTTCTCTTTTCTCTAGGGGTTCAGTCCATCAGAATTTTGCTGACTTTACTTTTGGAACTGGCAAAATCATTGGACGTATGCTCAAATTAAAGGGAGATATAGATTCAGATGTAGCTATTGATCTTAGCAACAAAGCTTCATTAGCATTCTTGCAAAAGCATTTAGGTAAGAAACTAATATTTTTTTCATGACCTAAATAAGATGACTCTCAGGATAAAACTGTCTATCTTAATACAGCTTTAGTACCATTTTAACTATTTCCAGCTGGTTTACAATGTAACAAAGCAGTAAATCTATTTGAAAACAGAAATTTGAGAAAGTCAATTTTGCTGCTTTACATACTGTGTATCATAGAAAGCAAACCCAACTGTTAAAAGCTAACAATCTTCATATGAAGACTGAAGTGGACTGCCACGTTGAGGATACTGACAGCAGGTTGCCTCACTCCTATCCCATTTGCATTCAGCTGCTAAGGCAGCCGTGGGGCAGGTGACACAGAGCACCTTGTCTCTATCATCCTGATGCAACTTGTGTAATTCCTAACTCTATATTGCCACCTAGGGGCACCAAATTGTTTAATGTGCTCAAAAGTTTAATACGTTCATTAATGCTTTATATTTTATAGGACTTCATAAAGATTTTGATCAGTGGGACCGCTTGATTGAAGGAGATGATCAGAATCTTATCCCAGGGACCAACATTAACACAACCAATCCACACATCATGCTACAGAACTCTTCAGGAATAGAGAAATAGGATTAAAGGGATTTTGTTAAAGTCTTGTTCCTAAACTGTCTAAAATTGTGTGTATATATGTACATGAGAGGAAGAGAGAGACTTTTTTTTTTTTTTTTTTTTTTTTTTGAGAAGGAGTTTCGCTCTTGTTACCCAGGCTGGAGTGCAATGGCGCGATCTCGGCTCACTGCAACCTCTGCCTCCTGGGTTCAGGCAATTCTCCTGCCTCAGCCTCCTGAGTCGCTGGGATTACAGGCACGCGCCACCATGCCCAGCTAATTTTTTGTATTTTTAGTAGAGACGGGGTTTCACCATGTTGGCCAGGATGGTCTCGATCTCTTGACGAGAGAGACTTTTAATGTATTTTCCCAAAGGACTCATTTTAAAATATAGGTGATACTATAATGGTGATTGAAGCTTGGGCTAAGAATTTTTTCCCTTTACATGTAAAGAATACAGTATACAATATTCATATCAACCTAAATTTTAATTTTACTAAGATGATTCCTTTTTAGTGTCAAAGTTAAAAACTGCTTTTACATTACTTTGATAGACAAGTAGATTAAAACAGGCAAAATGCCAGTGGAAAACTGTTGCAATGATACAAGACTCCCTATATATATAGTAAAAACAAAATTTCTTGCCTTTTATTCTCTATTCTAGGCAATAGGGTTAGTTTTAGCAGCTTGATATTCTAAGTAGAATTTGGCAGCACTTCTCTTTGACTTCTGGTCTTGGTAACAAAAATTAGATCAAGCAAAAGCCATTGTTTTACACAGGATTGGTGGTACCCCACAATTTCAAATCATGACTAAATGAGGGGTAGAGAAGGGTTAAGAATATTAGAGATAAGATGAAGGCAATGGATTAGAGAAAATAGGTAATTTGGGGCATTTTCTTTAATTCTTTAATTCATTCTACTTACTAAAGAAAGGCTTCATTGAATTGCTTCATTGAAGCAATTCATTCATGAATTTCATTGAATTGTTTCATTGAAGGTATTATAGCTTACAGTAGGGATTCCAGTTATAATACATTACTCACACAAAGGCTGTGAAGGTTAATAAAACATTCAGAATTACATTTAGCTTCTTCATATTTCAATAACTTTAATGTTTTCAATTCTATATGTAGTAGTAAAACAGAATGACATGATTAAATGGAGGTAAAAATATAGCTTAAGAGTTTATACACTTATAAATATGGGAATCATGGAAAATGATTTTATTTCCTAAGAGATATAAAAATGTATACCATTCACTTGGTACCTTAGTCCTATCTTATTGGTTTCAGGTGAAAAGTCACTCATTCTGAGAAATTTGACTTCTGTAGCCATTCAGATTAAATTTTTTTAAATAGGGAGCTAAACTCAGCTTGAAAATGAAGGCTTTCTATAATCTGACCCTAATGCATCTTCTCTGAGCTTTTCTCCTGGCAGTTCACACTATATTGTCTATATGAGTAAGCCAAACGTCTATTCATTATCCCACGAATAAGTAATATACTCATTTACCTCAATTACTTTTAATACAAAACCATCTCCTTTCTACTTACTGAAATCATACCTGGTTTTTAAGGTTCATAATTCTATTTCAATTAGGCTACAGAGTCTGATAATGCTTCATAGACATACACCTTTACTCCAGTCTCATTTACCTTCTCTCTATTCATTGTAGAAGTAAACATTTCAACTGTATGGATGTCCCATTCAACACTTTTTTTTTTTTTTTTTTAACAATCTTTTGTTGGTGGTCCATGCTGATGCTGAAAGGAGAAAATAACTATTGAAAATATCTAATAAGGTTAAAAAGAAATAACCTAGCATAGTGCACAATGAGTATTTTTCAGAAAAAAGAAACAAACATTTACCAAATGCCTACTCCTTTTCAGGGACTTTACATCAATTATTTCCAAAACACTGCAAGAAAGGTTTTATTACCACCACTTTACAGGTGGAGAAGATCAAAGCTCAAAATATTATATAATTTTCCCATGTGACATATCTGTTAAGCAGTATATAGCTAAGCTCTGTTTTCAGAAACTAAGATCTATACTTTGCAAAATCATGTTTAAAGTCACGGGCATTAAAGTTAGGTACGTCTGGGTTTTACCAAGCCTCTGAGACTCACTAGCTAGCAGACCTTAGGCAACTTATTTAGCTTCTCTAAGGAGCTTCAATTTTCTCGCCTATAAAATATGGATAATATTGATATGTACCTCAAAGTTGATGATTAAAGTGAAAAAATACATTCAAAGTACAAGTGACTAATATGTAAGAGCTTACATTTATTACCGTGCTTTCCCCAATCCTCCCTTATAGAGGAGAGAGGGAACCAAGTATGTTTAAGAATTTGACTTCCTTTTTAATAAAATAAGACCATCACATTAATGATAAACTTTATTTAAGGATAAACTTTATTCAAATCGTATATTAGAATACTTCCAAATTCAAACAGAATGTTAGTCAAATGTTTAGACAGACAGGCAAAGCTTCAAAATCAAGACAAAAATTCTGAAGGAGATACCACTAAAACACTATCCTCCTAAGTAATATCAAATAATGTACTTGTCATTAGCCTGTATTTTTTCTATTTTAACTTAAACACTATTTGAAAGGTACCAAAATATTTTTTATTTTTTTGAGACAGAGTCTTGTTCTGTCACCCAGGCTGGAGTGCAGTGGCACAATCTTGGCTCACTGCAATTTGTGTTTCCTAGGTTCAAGTGATTCTCCTGCCTCAGCTTCCCAAGTAGCTGGGATTACAGATGTGCACCACCACACCCAGCTAATTTTTTATAGTTTTGGTAGAGACTGGGTTTCACCATGTTGGTCAGGCTGGTCTCGAACTCCTGACCTCAAGTGATCTGCCCACTTCGGCCTCCCAAAGTGCTGGGATTACAGGCGTGAGCCACCAAGCCTGGCCCAAAACAGTTTTTTGAAATGTAATGTCTTAGTAAACTGTTTAGCAAAATAAATCCTCCTAATGAATTAGAAACATAAAACAATAAAAGGCAAAGGAAAGATCCCAGATTCATATATACAACAGTATCACTATAAATATACTCCACAGTCAACCTGAGACCTATTTTGTTTTCCACCTATCTAAAAGTTTTTGAAAATGACAACTTCTTGTGGTTATATGTTTTCCAATTTCTCAAATACTCTTGGTCTGGGTAAGATGCCACTTGTTCAAGAGCAGCTTCTGACTGGCCACAGCTATAGATCCACAGTTAAATCTCCATCACTTCCAAACCCCTTTTCTAAAACAAAAAAAAAGAAAAACTTCAAACTGAGAAAGAAACATACAAACAAAAGAAATTATTTACATGTGTGTTACAATGACAAATATAATGTTCTTTAAAAGAGGGGGAACAGATGAGTATTCTAATTACTACAGGGCATTATATCTATAGAAATAATGTTTTATTTTCTTCTTAATATTTTAGTTCTCACACTATCTGTACCATCATCAAATCAAGTTTCTCTAAAAAATTATGAAATTGGCTAACTTTATAGTTTGCTAGAATGGTGTTATGAAGGCTGATAACCAATTGGTTCTTTGTCCTTTTTGATTGGTGTGTATTTTCACATGATACTAAAGCTACCATGAGCTGATTTTATTCTCATTGTGCCTCAATTCTAAGAACCACTGCATTATGTATGAACAGGTATGTGCAATACCAAGAACCGGCCAATAATTTGATTCTTACGTAAACTAAAGATTCAGAAATTCCAAGAGATTATTTAACAAAGATCATTTAAATATATGAGCTAATTAACAAAGAAAATTCCTTAAAATACGAATTTATCACATTCATAATTTAACTTTCAAGATTAATTCAATTAACAAATTTCCTATATTTCAAGAAATCCTCATCTTGATTATATATCCTCATAAGTATACTTAAACATTTTTTTTTACCTAAAGTGGTTTTTCTTCCCTACCTCCAAAAAAACTGATAAACCATTTTTGTTTGAGGGTTTCAGCATAACAATATTTTTAAGACTTGGTAATTCCAGGTGGTAAAAGTATTTTGTTTTAAAAACACAAGTTACCTTTCATTGTGGTATCATCCGACGACATGAAGTAAAGATCTTTTCCTACTCTTTGGGATACATCCTAACAAAAGGAACCTTTGAATTACTATTGATTCTTTGTTATAAGTACAAAATAATTAAATCAGAAATGGAACCACAGATAAATGAGAAAATATGTAAACAATAAAATGTATTTCTATCAAAATTATGAAAATCTGATTTTATAATGAAGAATCATGTGAAGTTCGTTTTCTATTCTTCAAATACTCATTTCTCTAGAACATATCCCTGGAGCACTCTACACAGGGAATAAAGTGCCCATTTCCAATTTTTAGCTCCCAAACCCCCAACAACTGTGGTAATTGGTGAAGGAGGGAGGGACATCATTGTTCAAGGGGATGCTACTCAAACACAGTATCCACATAGAGCCACATAGGCTTTATTAAAGGACAATGAAAAGGGAAATATTTCTCCTATATTCCTTTTAATACTAATAGCATCATGTAGGCATGCATTATGTGATACAGAAACTAACAAGATATTCTTATGGTAAAATACAATAACTCATATAAGACACCAAATTTTTTAAAAAAGTAATTAGATTCCTAGATCATAGTGACTTGATGTATCATTAAAAAAAGTCATGCATAATACAGTATTCACTTTGTACGGAAAACTTGCTCATCTGTAGACAAGTATCCTGATTTAAGAGCTTCCTCAAATTTGAGGGAAATATTTAAGTCCCATTAGTAATCAAATAAAAATGTTTAGAGCCTTACTCATAAGTAGTTTCTATATGTCTGCTAAGTGGCTTAGTCAAAGCCAGAGGTAGCTATGTATTTATTTATCTAGATATATTATTTTATGTCTACTTTAAATAGTGCTTTTCTATTTGGCAGGCATAGGGAACTTTATCCAAACTGAATCTTA